ACCCAGATTAAGATCAACTCAGGAAAGAAAATAACAAAATGCAATTGCAGAATGTGTAAGAGACACGTGGTATTTGTTTTATAAACTGACTAGTGTATGTATAAGCATTCAGTGTATTTTTCTTTAAAATGTATGAATATTTTACATACCCTTTAATAGTTTAATTTAAAGCCTAAAGTTTTCATTTAAAGTTCAAAATAAGTTTCTTTTAAAACTTTTTTTTAAAGATATCAGATAATCTATTTTCTGGCCCAAACTCTGCTACAATTTAAGATCTACCACAAAAGATTTAAAGGTGTCTTAAATCTCACTTTGCATATCAAAAATAATTTTTTTCCTATGGTCATTTTTACAATTGCCTTTAAGAATTTTGTCTCAACAGGTCTTTCCCTATTAATATTTTCTATTCTTGTAAATTAAAACAGCATAACAGAAAAATCATTGGTAGATTTGCATTTCTTTTATAAATTTAACAAAAATATATATCAAAAGTAATGTTCCTTTCATTATCCTCTTTTAAAGTAAGAATAATATAGATACTCACTTATTCAAAGCTATTTTAACTCTTATATTGTCTTTTGTTCTTCCTGAATCTGAAAGTGTTCATAGCTATAACTTATTTTTAACACATTTACTCAAAAATGAATAAAATTGAATAGATACCCTAACGGTAGAGTTATAAGTCTGAATAACTTGACCGGAAAGCAATTCAAAACACTTCATATGAATATTAAAGATCTATTCAGAAAGGTATTGCTACAGCATTATTACTGACAAAAATGGGGAAAATATTTAAACAGTATTTGCCAATAATTTAAACAGTATTTTGTCAATGAAACCAAGTACATGGGATGCTATGAGGCAGTGATATGTCAAGCAAAAATAAAATAGAAAATCAAGGAGGTAATTCCCATTTCTATTACCACACCCAAAAGTAACACATGAGCAGTAAGGAAAACATCAAAACTAAGGACGGACTACACTCAGGTGGTTTTGGGGCTCCTCTCCCAGCTCTTCCTTAGTGCTACAAAGTTCTCACTGGACATGTGCTCATTTCAAAACCAGCCTTGCAAAACCAAGACACAGCAACAGAATAAACGCATGTATCCTGAACCTCAGGTTAGTACAAGCTTCGTTTTGTTTTGGGTTTTTTTTTTTTTTACCATTTTAGTAAGCATAGTTTACTACAGAATTTTAAATTCTAACTTCTTGCTAGATAATATTAAATAATTCTGAGTAAAATATGTCAAGATTGCTTTGTAGAACAAAAAGTAAACACATATAGCTAAACAGCAGCATTTCCTGAACAATTTTCTACTGAGGCAAAGAAAGGAAATAACAAAGTACTTTGCTCTTATTAAGTGAGAAGAAAAATACCATATATATATACACACACATATATACACACACACATATAATAGCTCCAAAGACTTCCTTGCTTTCATTTCATATAGATAGAAAATTAAAGAAAAATTTTAAGTAACTTACACCTCACAATTATTTTGATTTGAAGGAAATAGGAGACAAAAACAAGTTTCAAAAGGGAAGTGTTCAGATTTCAAAGAAACAAGGCTATTAATTTCTGGCTGTAGTAATAATATTTGAAACAGATGTCTATCTACACTCAAATCCAAACTGGATCATGGTTGACACAGTTTAATAAAACTTTAATTAAGGTTCTGCAACACTGTAAACTGATCATGTCATACAATCAAGCACTTGCTTAATATTAACATCTCTTCAAGGCCTAGTACTGCTAAAGTTAACTCAGACTTTTCGTAACTCACTCATTCAAAAAGTAAAAATATACAATTTATTCTCTTATTTCACAACATAAGGGTTTTTTAGAAGCAAGCATTTGAAAAAGAAATGAAAGGAACAAAGTGAGGAACAAAGGAAAAAAATAACCTTGTTTCTAAAGAGGTCCTCATTTCTAATTAGACACATTTTGGTATGAACACTTAGGACTTAAAAATGTCTACAACTGAAAACACTGTAAAAGAAAATAACTCCTTGTTAAAATTAACCAATTAACTTTGTAAATTTTCCTCATTCTAATTTAGTAGAACAATCTCAGGTAAGGAACCTGGTAAAGTAGGCTCAGGGTCAGTGCCACATGAAGACACGCGAAACAGACGACAAGACTAACATTTACTGTATGGTTATTATGTGCTAGGTGTAACTGAAGGTACTCCACTGAATCGCCACAACTTCCTTACACATACTGGGCAGCAGGGCCAGAATACAACTCCAACATCTGCTTCAAATCCAGTGTAGTATTAAATTCTGCTCTGAGCCACTTCGTAGTGTCTCCAACATAATACTATGTTGGACTAATACTATGTTTGACTAATACTAGTCAAAATGAAAAAAAAATTTTTTTACTATTTCACATCCCCAAACTATTTTTAAAATAAATCAATCAATGACACATCTTTTTTTTAAAATCCCGAGCCTCTTTGTCTATTTTCAAAATTTAAATTTCCACAATTACAAAGGAATCAAAATTATACCATAGGAAAGTCAGTCATAGTCAACACTGACCAAGCACCTTTTGCATCTGACTTTCTGCAACTGAGAAAGAAGTAGAAAACAGAAGATAGTTTTCAGCATTTCGTATCATTAGAACTGAAAGGATGGATGGAAACTAGGAATTACAAATGGTAACAACTTTGACAAAGTATGTCAGAATGCAAGTGGTTGCAGAACTAAAAGGACAGACAGCTACAACGTGATTAACAAAACAAAACATTTTCTCATTTATCAGATTACTTTGTTCATTTTCAATTCAACTTTCAAGAAGAGTCCTATAAAAGGAACTTACATTACATTGTTTACATTGTTTCATACTGTTTGATTCAAGAGTTTTAATATCATGAACTATAATCTATTCACTATGGACAAAACCATGTATTTTAAAGAACTCTTATTTTTTCCCTAAACCATCCATGCAAAACAAGTATTTAGTGGTGGCTTTCTGTTTGATATTAATAGTAAATGCATCTCGATGGATTTTTAGGGATTTTGTTGATTTGTGTTCTCAATTACATTTTAGTTCAATTGATAAGTATAATTTTCCTCTTGCACATACTGACATACCACAGGAAAGGTGGCACAGAAACATGATCGCTCTAAAAATATGGTATGGATAATCTAGGAAATACCATTGAAATACCATTAAAAAAAACTTGACTGCTGCACAAAACTATGGCCTCTTAAGAGAAAATTACTAACCAAGTTGAAAATAACACATTTTAAGGAAATCTGCACATTTAGCCAATCCTAGTGCAACATTCTTTAAAAAGACTATTTTAGGAAAAGAACAAAAGGGCATTAACTTTTAAATAAGGCATTCAATTTCACTGTTCAACATTTAAACATAGTTCAGTCTTTGTCTCTAGATTAAGGAGTGTTTTAAAAGAACAGTATGGGAGGAAAGTCAAAGGAACAACGATAAATAATAAGGTCCTGTGAAAAATTATCCTTTAATGATTAGTGAAAAGTTACAATCACAGAAACTAATTTATTACATTGCTGGCAAATTCTGCGTAATTCATTCCTCATAATCCAACACAGTAAACTTGAAACTGAGTATGACTTCTGAAAAAAAATCTTTTCAATGACTACTTTAAAGTTCTTAGAAAAATAATTACAATAAAGAAGTACAGCACTGATTGTGCCAGAATTATTTCCTAATAACCAAAACTATTTGCTACTCCCAAGCAAAGACTTTACCTATAAAAATATGTAGATGTTACACAGTGCAATTATCTGATTTGTAAGTACTGGCCTCTTATACAAGTAGGTATAAAATCTTAAGAGTTGATAGTTCCTAGGGATTTTAGTCATAAACACTGTCATGTCTGATTTCAAAAACCACTAGAGTAAAATAGATATAAAGATGAAACAATGAAAGCACTATGGTACTATAATTCTATATATACTTAAACCAAGATAATATTTGCCCCTTTAGTTACAAAATCATAGCATTTTAGACTCAGAAGAACCTAAAAGAGCTTAACCAATTTTATTCTCAAGTGTTCAGGATAAAATTCCAGAACTAATTATGACCTTTCCTGCCTCCCAGTCACATGCCCTTTTCAACATATGCCTTGATTTCCTCCCCTAAAGGAGAGATCAGAAGTAAAAAGCTAAAATAAGAATAAATGCATTGAAATGTATTACTCTATCTTATCCAATACTATGATGAGAAATTACAAAAGAACTGACCTGAGAAATGAGAACACAAAGAAGATGTGAAGTATATAAGATTATGAAAGTTAAAGAAAAAATAATCAACTAGCCCTTCCTTATTATACGGTTTCATAATACGATTATGTAGGGTCATTCAATGATTTAAATGGCAGGTAAAATTAAAACAAATAAAAGGAAATACCCTTGACAAGCATAACAAGCCTTCAGAATACACAAGGTCACAGAACAGAGGTCTCATCGTTAAACCCAGTAACATGATTTTAAAGTAAACTGGATCATTAGTGGAGCCAATATCTGATTATTTATGTTCAACATAAATATGATTTTCCATAATGGAAAAATTGTATTTTGGAATATAATGAGTAAGAAAGCTTTCTATTTGTTACAAATTATATTAAAACATAGTACATTTCTACAATGTTTATACTCCTTTGGAAAATCAAAGAGTGATTACTGACCTAGCAAAAGTGTTTTGATTTGACAGATACATACTATCTCTAATAAACATTTTAAGTATTATGGTTTGAAAAAGCAAAATTATCATTTTACATTTAGCACAGACATCTATTTTAAACCTTTCTTCCCCCACAACACTAGGACTCCAGGTAAAAATGTATGTTTCACCTGGTTATTCTGAAAGCTGAAGATCTGTTTTAATTCAATAATGCTACCTCCACTGAACACCACTCCCAGGGCCAATCCGCCCCATGGCATTTTGCCTCACAAGAAAAAAAAAACACATTATGTTTACAACAAAGAGGTTTATCTTGGGATATATAACCAACCTTTGACTGGCAGACAGTGACAGCTGTGGCAGGTTGCAAACAGCCTAGAAAACACAGCAGTGGCGGTCGCTTCAGTTCCGGCCTTTCCAGCACATTCTGATCGCCCCATTACAAGAGATGAGGCCCTGAGATGCTGGAGGAAACCTGTAAGTTGATGAAAAACTCTCCTGAGAGCTTTTTATTGGGTTTTCAGGGCATACTTTCTGGCCTTTCTCAACGATTTAAATTCAATGCTTTGTTGGACCATACAATTAGGGATATGTCCCCGTTCTTCCTTCCAAATGACTCAAGTTTTAAAATGTTATTTCAGATCAACTGATCAAGTTTGAGTGATTCTTTTTTCCTTGCATTCATCTTAAATTATCTCAGCTATGTGCTTTCCCAAAGTCACTAAAATGCTATCATTAAACTCACGTTTAATGTCCCTCATATATACCTACCCCAGAATACACCACACACATGAATCAAATGGAACAGTGAACTTCAATAAAGTTGTGGTAAAGATTTAACTTTAAAAAAAAATCCACTGCCAGTATTCTTTGTATAGAAATTAGTGAAGGAGGAGGGGAAATGAGAACATGTAAAGTTCAAGAGGCATTTTTCCAAAGATTTAAACACTGCCTCTTGATCTGTCACTCCTTGCAGAATATGACCAATAGCCCAAGTCTCCTTCAGAAGGCTCAGTGATTACTGGCCTTTCTCTGTGTGTTAACCACGCTACCCTTGCAATGACCCACTCCCCTCTGAGGCTACGGCCACAGGACTCTCCCTCCTTTGCCCTCGGAGTCTTCCCAAGCCATCAGACCTCAGGACCGCAGCCTGTGGGCACTGAAGCTCCTATCTGAGAATCCTGCCTACCATACATGGAACAACTTCCCCCTGTAAACTGGGAAGATGATAACCAGGGTCTTCAATGTGGAGGGTCCAACACACTAAAGACAAACGCTGTGATATTATTGTTGCTCCTGCTGCTTGCTTATATATAACTGTATTTCAAACACCTGCATTTCTTCTGAATTTCACCTTTTTTGTCCATGGTCTTTCAAGTTCCCCTAAGTTAGTGTTATATTTACTTCTAAACCACTTGGTAAATTGTGAAGTCTCCATATGCTAAAACCATGAGGTCAATGAATAATTCAACAAACATTATCATGGAGGAGAACTGTATTTGTTCAAAGGTACTCAATTTTTGACAAATTAAAAACTATACAGCCTCAAAGGAGAAATTGGTCAACACAATCCACTCAAGTTAAAATAAAAGCCTTTGAAAAAGGTAGTAACAAAAGTTGTTAAGAACTGAGTCATGGGATTAGACGAACCTTTTAGAGAAACAATGATCATTAAACAAGGTAGAAAAACCAGAAACAAGGAAGGTACTAGAAATGGTCATAATATCTAATATCTTTATAATGGTTATAAAAGAAAAAATGTAGATTAAATTTTCCAGATCTGCAAATGATACTAAGTTTTTCCAATATGTGAAATGCCAAGTCAATGGGATAACCTTTGAGATACTAGGGGGAAAACTTCAAGACTCAAATTGGAAAGCTTCAAGATAATGAGCCTCAGTTACTACAAGAAAGGAGCTCAAAAGTCATCTCTGGGACATTGCACTAATATGTTCCTACAACCAAAAAAGCTAACAATGGCATAAGCATTGCTTGTGAAGAGAAAATATGGTTCTTGCCTCATTTAAAACCGGAGTATAGGCTGGGAGTGCAGCTCAGCACACACTCGGCCCAAGCAAGGCCTGAGGTTTCATCCCCAGCATGGAGGGTAGCAGAGGTGAGACAGAGCTTATCTCTACCTAAAAAGCTACACGTAGCTCTCCTCTGATATAACCCAGACCTCCAAAAACATTTGCAGCTAAATGAAAAAAAATTATGACGCTTTTACCAAAAAAAGAAAAACAAAATCTAGAAACTAATGAAAATCCAAGCAAGTAAAAATAAAACAATCAAGTGGAACACAGCACAGCCACATGAAGAAAAACAAGGAAGCACTGTAGTAAAGACTATGCACACTGTACAATGATGGAAAATACAGAGCTGAGGGAAGGCTGCCAGGCTTCAGGCAGAATATGCACTTCGGACACGCAACAAAATACAAATGGAACCAGCTGAAAAATACACACCCAGCCCAAAAATAGGACTCATGGTTTCATTAATCACCATTGTGGTTTAGACTAGGGAAAACTAAGATATGTGAACGAGATATTATTTTTTAAAATGTAAACACAAACCACCAATCCTAGCCTCCTCTAATAGAACCACCTAAAGAAAGAAAAACAGACTGAATCAACTTGACCTTCATAGAGATTTTCAAAAACTTCATTTTCTTTTCCATATTCAGTCTATTTATGTTTTGCATTATTTTTTGGTACTCTATTATTTCCTATAAAGCAAGTCTCAATTATCTCTGACACACTTTGATTTACAGTATAGTATCAAATTCATTCATATTGCATAAATATTTAATAATTCCATTTGTAAGAAAGACATTACTCACAAGCTAAAGATGTAAAATATTATTGTTGAACTGCACTTTACCTTCCAGGTTTAGGAGATGTGAGCCAAAAGCCTAATTTATAGCCACATGTTACATCAGAGTACATGCTAGTAAGTTTAAAGAAAAATGTTTAAGAGTACACAGTAACAACTTTCAAAGCACAACTTTCAAAACACAGATATAAATGTACAAAATTTCAAAGAAGAGAGAGGCTACATGGGTTTTGATGAAAACTTATGCAATTACAGGGGTATGTATCCAGAAGATACAAGAATGAAAATTGTATAGGCCTACATAATAGCTACATAATATTTTTACAATATATGTCCATGCCATTGTAAGCTTTAGGCAAGAGAACACATTTCTTTAAATATTTAAAATGTGAACATTTCACAAAAATATTCTGAGTGACATTATGTAATAAAGTAAATGTTTTCATAACAAAACAAGTGCATCTTGCTGTTATTAGTTTATAACATTAAAATACTTTATAAAGCAGCAAATCAATATATATACTAGTCTGATGGTGATATAGCTAGAAAAGAAATATTCTGGGTCTTCAGGGCAAAAATTAGTGTGTTTTAACTCTCGCTGACTCCAAAAGGGCATTCGCAAAAAATGCTTTCAAGTCCAGCGTAAAAGTGAGAGAGACAAAGAAAAAGTGAACGCGAGGCGGAGGAGGGGAGGTGGACAGTGCAAGAGGGTAAAAAGGAGCACTCTATGGTCTAGGACGCTGGGGAAGCCAGCTGCAACTCTGAAATTCTGACTGTGGCACACACAGCAAAGATTTCTTAAAAGGAAATGGCTAACTCTATCTTTGCTAAATCTAAATTACTTAAGAAATTAATTCACTAAGTATACGAAACATAACCCATGGTACTGATCAGAAAGGATAAATTTACAGCTAAAAAATTGAAAATTCAGTTTCCATTTCTTCACAGCTTCCTGAAGCAACAGATTGCAATTAAAAGAGTGCAGGAAATGTGGTGCACCAAAACTAATGGGTCTGAAATACAGAGCAAGTCAAGGCAATGTATAAGGTCTGCAAGATCTGACATTTTTACAAACAGCAGCAATTAGTAAACTGACCAAAAATATCTGAGATGTTTGTGGAAAAACTTAATTTATAAATGGCTGTTTATCTCAGCTTTAACATATGCCACAAGATACTAAAATGTGAAAATTCAAATTGCTTTACTGATAGAATTAAAAATTGATCACATCTATATGTGAGGAGGAAACATTCATTTCTACAGATATACATAATTATGAACTAGGAAATGCCTAATTTGCCTACAAAAATTGCAAGGGTTTGATGACTGAAGCAAGGAGTGAACTAGGTCCACTGAGAATTACCAAGAAAAACATAATCAAACTTAAATGCAACAGAATATAAAGATCATTTTCCAAATTGGTTCCAGAAACAGCTCCTAGGTGGATTTCACTGAAAAGCTCATTTAATTCAATTAAGCAATGTAGTATGGTTTTTCTCTTCAGAGAGAGTTAAAATATTTTTATTTGCTACAGATGTGAAAGATAAGTATTTAAAGAAGTGGATGATTTAATCCTGACTGAGATGAGGATGCAAAGTTGTTGAATAAGGACTCTGCATACAGAGCAGATACAGTTATCTACTACAGCAGCCATCATTTAAGGAAATACACAAAGCAAAACCTGTAACAGTTAGAATGTTTAAACTCTTAATATTATATGCTGTCCTATAAATCCAATATAATTTTCTCCTGTAAATTATAGGATAAAACACTTAGAGACCATGTTTATTGCTCACATTAGAGTATTAGAATTCTGCCTCAAACATACAATGAGGGTACAATGATTTATAGCATAAAAGACAAAGAGCAAAAAAATAAAAGAAAAAGAAAAAAAAATTTTTTTTAAAGACAAAGAGCAGTTAAATTTTGGAAAAATTCAGCTTTCCCAGAATAACTTTCTTTCCTTCTTAATCTGAACATCACCTGAGTTCACCCTCCACCACCCAGTTAAATAATGTCTACACACTGCCTGGTCATGGTTCTTCTGAGTCCATCTGGCTGCTGGCTTGCACACCAGAATGACTCATAAAAATGAAGCAACCTGAGGTCACCTACACCAGGTCTGTTAAACAGAACTGCCAACCACTTACCCAGGTGGTTTCAATTTCCAGGAATACTTAAAATGAGGGAGAAACTCATTCTAGATGCACCATTTTATTTTCATAGTGTCTCTGGCTTCAGAATTTGCTAAGTAAGGAAGCTAGCTCTTTTGAAATGTAGATTGCTAATCACATGAAGACCAGAAATCACTACATGTCTTAGATTGAGAATGTGATATAAACTCAAGTGAAAAAGGAAGAAAGGACACAAAGCCACACTATATTATGCTCCAAATTTTATAAAGAAGAAAGATTCCAAAATATAATGCTGGTTATTTTTGTTTGGTTGTAAAAGTGCCTCTATTGTTAGGGTTCCCTGTGTTTACCAAGTTTCCTTCAATGAATATGTATTCTTTACAATAACAAAAAAATAGTAGGTAGCTTTTTAAGAAAATATATATTGTAAATCTTGTGCCCAATGAGCTTCAGGGACCCACGGATATATACATATACACTGAATGGATGTCTTTCTCTAGGTAAAGAAGAAAACATTAATTTTTGCCTTTAAAAATAATAAATCATTAAGAAAAACAGAAACTGGGGCCCTATTTTATAACAAGCATAACTGGTATATAAATCCTAGCAATGATAATGATCTCTTCTTTTCAGGATAAGCTAGTGAGATGTGTGATCATCTATTATAACACATACCAATTTTCCCTTGAAATGTGTTCAGATAAACATCAATCTAACGGTATATACAAGGAAATACACAAGTTCCATGGTCAAATACCCTTTTGAGGCCTGTCAAATGCATACTGAAATAAAAGCGCAGAAAAGTCTGCAGTTTACAAGTGTCAGCAATCCTCAGATTTCCTCCAGCATTTACACGCTTATTGCACACACTTGTAGGTTTACTACAGGCCTGTCATTTTCCCCAACACTTTATAAGTACTACGGTAATTTTCACACAGCCCTATGAAATAAATACTACTGCTGATTCCCATTTTACAGATGATCAGGTAGAAGTATAGAAAGGTCAGTAGCTACCTCAGTTCTCAGGGCCCGCAAGTCACGAGAATAGATTCAAACCCAAACTTCAGAGACCACGGTAACCAGAGGCCATGCTGCTGTAATGTAAGGCTGTACCCTGACATCCACAAAGTCCACCATTCTGTTGGGCACACTTTCAACTAAAAACATACTGCTATGTGTCAATTCCTTATTGGGACTGGTCAAACAGCCCTTATTAGCCCTAATCCCAGTATTTCACTTAACCCATAAAAAGGCAGAAATAACTAGAAATCGTGTTAAAGTAGGCCTAAGGAAATTCAGAATATAATTAGCAAACAAGAAATCTGAGTACATTTTCTACTGTCACTTAACTAATTTTATTAGACAACATAATTCAAAGAATTTTGATGAAATAAAGATCTTGCTGGGCATAATTACACACCTGTAATCCCAGCACTCAAGAGGCTGAGGCAGGAGCACCACTGTGAGTTCAAGGTCAGCCTGAACTACACAGCAAACCTGTATCTCAAAAACACACCCCCAAAAAATCTAAAAGACACATAATTTCTGTACTCCAATTCAGAAGTGTCCTAGTTACCAGAGCTTGTGTGTACTGACATTAATGATGACTGTAATTTGCTTCTTCATGCCTAGCAAACTTTTTGAAAATTCTAATAAATATAACCAGTAGGAAAATGAGAAACCTCATGGTCTTTAATTA